CGCGGCCAGGGAGGAGCCTGCAACCTAGGTACATGCCCTTCATCAGAATTGAACCCAGACCCTGCCATCAGCAGGCCAAGGCATTATCCACTGAGCCAAACCAGCTAGGGCAGGATATGACATTTCTTAGCCCTCTAGCAGCGGACCTTCGTTTTTTTCACCAGGAGTGTGGTGAAAAACCCTAGATCACCTTTTTGGATTCTTATTACTCAAGTTACTAAGAATATTACCAGTGGCAGGCCTGGGCAGGGAGCTAAGCCAATGAGCGGTCAGAAAAGGTGTTTCCTCTGCAGTTCACACCAATTGCTGGCTTGGCCCCCCCTAGCCCAGGCCTGACACCTCTGGCCCAGGTGTCAGGCCTGGGCAGGGGACTCCCATCTCCCCCCGATCACCAGCTCTGCCCTCACCCAGGCCCGACACCTCCAGCAGCGGTGTTAGGCCTGGGCAGGGGACCCCCATCTCCCCCTGATCACTGGCTTCTGGGCGGCTTCTGGGGCTTCTGGGGCTTCTGGGGCTGGCCTTCGGCCCATGATCGGATCCGATCACGGTGGCAGGCAAGCGGCTTCTGGGGTCGCACATGGGGGCCTGGATGGCGGCTCTCATGCACTGGTGGCTGTGCTGTCCCGCCCTGCCTGCAGTATGCAGATTAGCTGCCATCTTTCTTAGTGGTTACTTTGCATATCGTGCTGATTAGCCAACGGGAGGCATAACAAAGGTATGGTCAATTCCATGTTGTCTATTTTTAGATAGGATGGTCAGGATCTGGTAATCATACCCAAACATCACCCCCACTTTCTATGCCTTACAAAATTCAGAATCTCCTCTAAAACTCAGATCAGGCATCACCTGGGAAAACCCCTCACTGGCTCCTGCTTCTCCTTTGCCCCTGCTCCCACCACTCCTTGGTCTGTGTGGAGCGTTTCTCCTCAGGGCATTTAAAGAACCAGGTTCCTGCCACTAACCCTTCTTATCAGACTATATGTTCTGCTCACTGGCTCTCCCTCCCTGATTTCTGTCAGAATTAGGGAGCTGGGATTTGCACCCCCAGGCTTATGGTAGGACCAGATAGATGTGTGTCAAGATAAGCAGACCATAATAGCAAGAAAGAAACTAGCACGAGGCAGGGGAACTGCTGCGGGCTGCTGCTCCTCTGTGCCGGACAGTAGGAGTTTCAGGATTTGGCTCTAGGCCAAATTAAATGTCCCTTTTTGACTCACTGGCATTTTTTCTTAGTCTCTTCCCTCCCTAGTTTCTCATATCCTAACTCTACCATTTTTTCTCCCATCAAAAGCTACCTACATTAATGTGAATGGCAAGATGGGGACTGGGGAGGGTACCTTAATCCAAAGAAAGTTTCCTGGGACCAGTTGGAGAGATTAATATATGCTCTTGGTATTTGAGGAACACAGTGGACTTGTATCAGCGTCTGCCTGGACACAGTAAATAAATGGGGGAGAGACAGGCTAGCTCTCAGAGGAAGGGAGCACGGAGAGGTTGTGGCTGCACCGAGCCAGGCCTGCAGCTCCTGAAGCTGCTGGGGAAAAAAAAGTGCACTTACAGTCAACTGGGCAGTCACTCTGTCCTTAGCCAGCACCCAAAAAGCTGGCATTTTTCCTTTAAGAGGCTCTTCCACCTTCTTAGGTGGTCCTCTTAGACAAGACCTAGATGACTTCTCTCTGTGGACCTCCCCTGGCTCCACATCTTTTCTTACAGAGATGTGGACTTCCTCCCATCACAGTCAGTTGCATGAAGAACAGTCTTGGAGCCCAGATAATAAATCTTTAACTATAGAATGTTAACCTTTAGGCAGCTCAAAAAAAAAAAAGACCACAAACTGAAAAGAGCTCCCTTCCCCCCAAATCCCCACTCACCCCAGGGGCACAACCCATAGGACCTCACCCCCACGCCCATCCCCGTTTTAAGGAGAGGCACATTTGGGCGGAGAGGCTGCTGGAAGTGAGGTGTGTTGGATCCCACAATCTGGCAACCTCTGATCATGTTGGAGGTAGCCCAACATGCAACTTTATATTGCAAATCTGGATAAGAGTATGTTTGTGCTTTGTCAAGAAGACAAAGAACGTCTCTAGAATTGCCTAAAGCCTGTGTGCTTAGCTCTTGGAGTAGGGGAGTCAGCTACCATAACTTTCCTTCTGGCAGAGACTTGGGGTGTTTTGAAAGGAGAGTGAGGTTCATCGAGTAAACAGAGGAAGTCTTAGGACAGAATTTGATTAGTGAGTGGGTGGAAGGCTTTCTGATTGACTTTCAAGTGCATCTGGCAGCCTTTGATTGGTTCAATAGCCTCCAGAGCTTTCCAGGCTGAGTGGGGTCAGACAGGTTTTCTTTTGTCGACTGGAAGAATATCCAGTCTCCAGTCTCAGGTCAGAATCTTGCATAAGCAGCTCCTCCATTTGATTAATGACAGGGTAGAAAGTTGGCCTGAAGTCAGTCCAAATAAATGTTTTATATGTAATTACTAGAGGCCTGGTGCACAAAAATTTGTGCACTTGGTGGGGTGGGGGGGGGGTTGTCCCTCAGCCCAGCCTGTGCCCATTTGCAGTCCAGGACCCCTTGGGGGATGTCCACCTGTCGAGTTAGGCTCACTCCCCAGAGGATCAGGCCTAAGCTTGCAGTCAGACATCCTTCTGGTAGTCAGGGAGCCCTCGGGGGATGTCCGACTAAAGGCTTAGGCCCCCAAGGGAGCTGTGATGAGGAAGCTGGGGTGACAGAGGAGACAAGCTGTCCCGCCCCGCTGCCCCAGGTCAGGTCGCACAGGGGTCACCCGGACAGTGGCTGGGCAGGCCAGCCAGACGCCTGCCTCCCTGGGTCGCAGATAGCAGGCCCAGATGGCGGTGGGGCAGGTGGGATGGCGCTGACCTGCCCTGCCTGCAGTATGCAAATTAGCCACCATCTTTGTTGGTGGTTAATTTGCATATCGTGCTGATTAGCCGATGGGAGGCATAGTGAAGGTACAGTTAATTACCATGTTTGTCTATTATTAGATAGGATACTTATTTATATGACTCTATCACATCGAGGCCAAACTGAGATTTGTCACCAATCTCCTTCTCATAGAACGAAGGTGAAAAGGAGAAATATAAATATCAGATGGATGTTGCACTGGATAATGTATGAGATTCCTCTGAAGTTAGGATCCTGGGATGATTTCCTCTATTCTGTGGTTCAGGGGCTGGAGGGACTCTGAGGTCAGACTGGGTGTCCCCACAGGGCCCCCCTCCGGCTCAGGCCTGGCACGCACACAGACAGGCAGGTGTCCAGGGCTGTGAGCGCCCCTTCTTCCTCCACCCAGGCCCAGCTTGTAACTCAAGCGTGTGCAAGAGTGTGGAGTGGTGGTTATGATTCAGGCCTCACGGGATAGAAAGTCACCCCTCCCTTACCTAGCCTTCCAACCCCATTCTCTCTCTTCTATTCCTCCCCCCAACCCCTGTTCCTCTCCCCACCCCCCAAACCATACCTCTGGTCTCACACACACATATACACACATGTCCCTTCCTAAAAATGCAGTTCAAACCAGCATGCAAAACTGGAGATATCCTTCTTTGTTTCATTAAAGACCTTTTAAAAAATTCTATTTCCAGCTTTCTAAATTGTATTAATCTATGAAGTTGTTCTCCTCACCCTCCCCCATCCTGTTCATTTCCCAACGTTCTCGACCGTCCTAAGTACAAATACGTGACTGATTTCGAGAAGGAAACCGGTGAGATCTGGAGGTTGTGGAACTCTTTGTTTCTCCTTCGAGGAGGGTGGTCGGGTTCCATTTTCCTCTGGAGCTTTGGCGGGTCCTTGCTCCCAGAGGCAATCCAGTCCCACGGCCACACTCTCTCCCCTTATTTCCAGAGCAATGGTTGTGAGCGGGTGCAAGTGGGGACGGGGAATCGCTCCTACAGTGACCATCTGTACGGCAAACCATCTTTAACAATTTCTTATCTTTGAAAATAATGTTCAATAGATAGAGAATAAACAAATACAATGTCACACTATAAAAGAATTGTGTCATCAAAATTACGTTGTAGGTGAGTTTAACAAAATAGGAAGATGTTCATAAAATGTTATTAAGTAAAATGAACAGTGGATAATACATATTATGGTGTCCCAGAAAAGTGTATACACACTTTAACAGCTGATAGCTCAATTTTGAAAATAAGATGTATTTTAATAAGCACTCCTTTTATAATTATTCAGAGTGTGTGTGTACATTTTTGGGAGACATACGTACATAGCTGAAAGCATAATATACCAAATAGTTTAGTTAATAATGATTCTCTTTGGGGCAGAGTAGGATAATGGGCAGGATACATTTCCATCTTTTTGTTTTATTTATATTTCCTATAATTAACATGTGCTACTTTTGTACTAAAACAAAAATTATAAGTACTTAAATATATATTTTCAGAAACCTACCTGCCTAATGGATATTACCCAAATCTTTGTTTAGTCTAATTTTTAAAAATCAAAGGCAATATTTTTAAAACCAAAATAAATGCTTTCTCAACACCAGGAAAGAGGGATCAAAGCATTTGCCAAGAGTCCAGCTGGGTCAGACACCAGACTGGCCGGAGGAGGCACCTGTTTTGCGGCGCTGCTGATCCCCGGAGGCCCAGAGGCAGCAGCAGTCACAAGTCTTCCCGAGGGGACGCAGATTCTGGGAAGCTGGGCAGTGGGCACGGGATAAAACAGGAGGGCCTGGGTTCTCGTAAGAGCTCCATCGTGGCCCAGGCGTGAACCTCAGGTAAGTCACCTGATCTCGCATCCTCTACAGAAACAGGCCATTTTTATTTACCCACCAATTATTTACCCAGGCTCTTCCGTGTACAAGGGCACCGCCCTGGGCACATGCTAGGAGGTTGTGTCTATGTTATTTTATGAGACTTTCACCCAATTTAATTTACACCATCATTTTCATCTTTCAGCACAGGGCTATTCAGAATTCTCAAGGCTTACGAGTAGAATAAACCTCTGGCAATCTAGGTACTGAGGGCTCCAGAAACAAGAGTGTATTAGTGGGCTTTGTAAAGGTGACAAAAGAGGAGCTCATGAGGTAAGGCATAAACTGAGTAAAGAGTTACAGATGGACCAAAATGATTCAACTTGACCCAGAACAGCTTGGAGGAAGGGTGCAAAAGGGAGAACTCTTGAGCCAAAGCAGTGAGGAAAATGAAGATCATGCCAGTAAATCCCCAAGCATCACAGGCTAAGTGCCTTATTCTTCTTGGTGTACAATTCACTATTCTTTTCAGGCAACAACACTCTGAACAGAACAATGTTTATGTGTTTGCTATTCTTGCAAGAGAGGGAGAGAATAGGTTACATAAATTTGCCCTTGAAGATTTAACATTGTTCATAATGGTTAAGATAGTAGATTTTTTTACAAACATGGAGAACATGAGCCAAAATCAAGAGACTGTGTTTTTGTTCCAGAAAAACTACACAGGCTAACCATGACTATACAGGTCATGGTGTCGGGAAAAGTTATTTTCACACTTTTCGGAAGGTGTTTAGATACATTGTTTGGCACAGCATGTTGTTTTGATTTTTTATATATCATAATTTTATTGTTTTTCATCTTCCCACAACACTAGGGATATTCAAAGGGCTACAGTAAAAAGCAATTGCACATGCTCACATAAGAACATGCACTCACATTCAAATGCAAACACACATAGACACGAATAAATGCCATCGAAGAAAAAGACATAGGAGGTATTCAGTAAGGAAAACTGACCATTAATCAGAAATTTAACTTTGAGACCAAAAATACCTTTGGTCAAAAGTTGGTGAGCTTATTGTCTCTTTACAAGAATCCAAGGAGACCAACGCTGGGTTATGTTAGGGGTCCCCTGTGCTCAGTTATCGTAGCTAATATAGGGCTGTTAGGCACAGGGTGTTGCATGCCAACCTGGAGGGTGGTTAACAGGAATACAGAACCTGGTTAGATGCTCTGAAGTCAGGACTGAGACGTTTCTGGCCATTATGACCATGTGGGTCATTAAATAAACACTAAGCAAAATCAACTCATATTTCATCACACACACACAAATAATAAAGTTCCTTGATTCATAACCTATGTGGCTCATGAGTTCTCTTACTTTTCTGTTAAGAAGTGAGGAAAGCTCAGCTGAGATCATATTAATGTTTACTCGTTAGAATGCGGAAATGTGCTACTTGAGGATTTTTGTAAACAGTACATGCGTGGACAAGGGCTCTGTATATATCCTAACATGATTGGAGTATTTGGTGCATGTGAAGGCCTTCTAGAAAATTTGTGCCCGTGCCTCTCTCTCTTTCACACGCTTGCATCTCTGTTTTTCTGTGTGAAATGTGGTATCACCATAACGCTTTACAGATTCACATTAGACATTCTGTAGTTAAATATGTAACGTGTATCTTAGGGTCCCAAGCCTTATCCGTTACTAACTGTAAGACCTTCAGCAAGTCTGTCTCTCTGACTTACAGCTTCTACGTCTGTAAAATGGAGCGAAGGATACCTTTTTCTGGTGACTTTATTTTAATTCAATCTTTATTGTTGAAAGTATTACATGTTTTCCCCTCTAGCCCCCATTGACCCCTTCTAGCCTGTCCCCAACCCCCGCCCCAGGCCTTCACCGCTATATTGTCTATCACACCCACCCTCTCCCTCCTTCCTTCTGAGGGTCTGCAGTCTGTCCTATGCTTCCATGTCTCTGTTTTACCATGATTTTAAAGCAGGTCCTCAAATTCTTTGACATGCCTCCCATCAGAATACGGAGTCCAATCCCTTAAGCATGGGCCAGGCTTAGCGACTCACGTCTAAAGAATGGAGCGTGGTGCAAATAATGCCTGACACCCACCCTCTCCCTCCTTCCTTCTGAGGGTCTGCAGTCTGTCCTATGCTTCCATGTCTCTGTTTTACCATGATTTTAAAGCAGGTCCTCAAATTCTTTGACATGCCTCCCATCAGAATACGGAGTCCAATCCCTTAAGCATGGGCCAGGCTTAGCGACTCACGTCTAAAGAATGGAGCGTGGTGCAAATAATGCCTGACTTCTGACACCAGGTTTCCCCTGGCGCTCCCCCTTGGGATACTTCCTCTTGGAACCCAACCACTTCACCATTTGGTGAACAAGCCAGGCTGCCACATGGGAAGGTCCCGGTGTGGCCATTCCAACAACAGCCCAGATAAGCTCCCAGCTGACGGCCGACATCAGCCACCAGACATGTGAATGAGTGCGTGTTCAGACTAATAGAGCCCCCAATCTTTCAGCCACCTCAGCCGACACTGAGTAGAGAGAAAATGTCTTCTTCAAGTTCTTCCAAAATTGTAGATTCATGAGTCAATCGATGTTGTCAGTGTAATGTTTACGTCATTGCGTTTTTGAGTGGTTTGTTATGTAGCAAGAGATAACTGGAACAGATTTTGGTACCATAATAAAAACTGAACACATGTAGCAATGACTTCAGGTCTTGGTGGCAGGCAGAATTTGGGAGGGTATATAAGAGACTGTTCATGAAAACCTTGTGGTTCTTGAAGTTATTGGTTAAGGCTGACAGGAAAGTGAGAAAAATGTTATTGGGAGATGTCATAGATAGTAGTAGAAAGTTTAGCAACGCAGTTATCGGTGGTAACATGGAAAATAGAAAATATACCAAATTAACTGAATGACCTATCTAAGGAGATCTTCAGGAAGAGTGTTGAAGGGGCTGCCTGGTTTTTCTCACTGACTCTAGTAAAATGCAGGAGATAAGAAAGAACTATTAAAGAGTATTATGCTAATAAGCCAGTCAGAGAAACACAAGCACCATATGATTTCACTTAGATGTGGAATCTAACAAACAAAATAAACTAACAAACAAAATAGAAACAGACTCATTGATACAGAGAACAGACTGACAGCTGTCAGAAGGGAGGGGTGAAGGGGTGCTCGGTGAAAAAGGTGAAGTGATTAAGCAAAAAACAAACAAACAAACAAAAACACACCAAAAAGCTCATAGACACAGACAACAGTATGGTAATTACCAGAGGGAAAGAGGGGTGGGAGGAGGTAGAAGAGAATAAAGGGGCGATAAATGGTGATGGAAGAGACTTGACTTGGAATGGTGAACATACAATATACAGATCATAGAATTGTATACCTGAAACCTACATAACTTTATTAACCAGTGTCATCCCAATAAATTCAATTTAAAAAGAAAGAACTATTAAATATAAGGTGTCCCCCCCAAAAAATGTATACATACACTTTGAATAATTATAAAGGCAGTGTTTGAAAATACATTTCATTTTCAAAATTGAGCTATCAGCTACTAAAGTGTGTATACATTTTGGGGGGACACCAGTATATAGGAGCCAGAAATTTCTGGGTTTGAAAATAACCGTTTCTCCTTCCTCACCCCCTCATACAGGAAATGAAATGGCTTCCAGGTAGGATCAAATCCAGAGTGCTGTCAGGAAAACAGCCCACAGATGAAGCCAGGGTTGTGACTACAAAACTGTTAAAACTTCAGAAAGTTGCTTCATAGACCTTTACAAGCAGACAAAGGGCCTACAGCTTTGGAGAGTGTGAGGTGGAGAAGGGCTAAAGGAGACTTATGGGTGTGGCTTTTGCCTAACGGAGTTGGTTATAAATTGATTGATAAGAAGCCTACAATGTTGTTGTTCTTTATTTTTACTTTAATTTTTTTTTACTTTTAATTTAAATCATTTTTAACTTTCAAATTACAGTTGACATACAATATTGTATTAGTTTCAGGTGTCCACCCCCGGGATCAGACATTCTATAACTTACTAAGTGAACATCCGGATAAACCTAGATATTTTTTATCTTCTTTAAAAGAAGTGGATGGGTGGGTGGTTGTCTCGCTGACCTCCCCGCTGGTTAGATCAGGGTGTAGCTTGGAAGAGGAACAGGAACAAAATAGAATCCTGTGCTTGGAGTTTGGAAGTCAACTGAGTATTGACCTCAGAACTCAGATTTCCTGCCTCCCCAGCCAGCACACCATTCTCTCACACTGTAGCTTCTCAACACTAGTTAGCTTCCTCCTATATGGGCTAAGCATTAAAACCAATGTCACATTAAATACCCATTAAATGGCCAGAAGTCCCCAACTATCTGCCCTTAGAGGCCTTGTAACCCATGGTGAGAGGAGTCAGTCAGAGGCCTGGGGTGGAAGCCCGCCTCCACCACATACTCTCTGGGAGCTTTGCAGATGTTAAGTAAAGATCTTGAGAGGAGACCATCATGGAGTACATGGGCGGGCCCTAAATCCAATGACAAGTACCCTTATAAGAGGAGAGGAAGGCACAAGCAGAGAGCAGAAGGCCTTGTGAAGACGGAAACCGAGATTGGAGTTCTGTAGCCACAAATCAAGACTGTCTGTAGTCACCAGAAGCTGGAAGAGGCAAGGGACAGATTCTCCCCCAGAGGCCCAGCGCAAGTGCAGCCCTGAGGACCCCTTGATTTCAGGCTTCCAGACCTCGGACGGCGAGAGAAAGCATTTCTGCTGTGTAAGCCGCCAAGTGTGTGGCGATTTGTCTGGCGGCCTAGGAAACCGAGGCAACGGATGAATCTCACACTCGTAACATTGAATGAAAAATCCAAGTTACAAAAAAAAGCCACATTGAAATAAAGTTTTAAAAACACAAAAACTGATACTTTATATTGTTTGTGTGGATACATATTTATTGATAAAAATGTTAAGAAATAAATAGGTATGATTAACACCCAATTTAGGGGAGTGGGAACCATGAAGCAATGGGAAGGAAGGGAACACAATCGGGGTACCCAGAGGGCTTCACCTGTATTGATAATATTGTGTTTCCTAGAGCTGAGTGATAGGGTCAGGCACGATCAACGTCATATTCTTCTACCACTGTGTATGACCGAACAATTTCACAATAATTGAATGTCAAATAACATTTAAAAGAAAAAGGAAATGGACAGGAAGGAACGGTGACAGCATTTTGAAGTGGGGAGCTGCTTGCTTGGATCAGGCATGACCTTTCAAATGTCAGCCAAAGCAACATGCATCTCCTGGTCCCTAATGAGCAGAGGAAAATCACTTAGTGAATATTCAGTGTTCTGGTGTTGATTATAAATAATTCCAATAGTAACCTTTTTCGTTGGAAAAACACCTGTACAGCGCCGACTCTGATTACTCCCCGTGGGTATTGCTCAGCTAAAAATTAATATAGCATCCTTTCTAGAATGACAGTCTGCGGGCTGGGGTAAGAGAAAAATAGCAATTTATAAGATGGAGTAATTACTGGAAGATCCAGGTACTATTTACTGACTTTCTTCTTTGTTCTCAAGTCAAGGAAATTATTCGGTCCACCTTCCCAGAGTCCTTTATTGGCCTTAATCGTAGGTTGTCTATCAAAAACAGTACCGTTGTGGATTAATAAACACCGCAAACCCATAATACACCGCCGGGGCCCTCGGTGTTCCAAGAAAATAAGTGAGCTCAGCTGAAGCATCACCGAGGGGTGACTGCCTGGGCTGTGGGGCGCGCGCCGTTGGCGTGGCCGAGGCCGCCTCCCTGGGTGTGTTTTCTGGAATATCCACAAGGTGGCAGCAGCGCCCCGGCTACCAACCAGGGACCTCCAAGAACAACAGGCCACCATTGACTTCGTTATCAATGAAGCGGCTGTGGTTTCCAAGTGGATTTGGTTGTTTCTTTTAGTGCTGCGATTAGATAACATTGTGACTATTTTCAGTGAAAAATTATTCAGGTTTACTCACAACCAACACAAACACGACATGGCCTCAGTTCTCCCTGGAGTTTCACAACAACGATTAGCTGGTAGAAATGGGGCCCTAGCTCAAGATGCGGTCACTGGGTTTGCCCGTGGTGTTATACTTAAAGTCGCCTTTCTTTTATACTAACAAAACGCAAGTGTTTAGCAACCCTTTTTTGTTAAAGAGGACTCCATCTTTGCCCACTCTTTTCCCATCCCTCTTCTGTCTTCCAAGAATAGATCTGCCAAACAGGTTCTAGGGGCACTTGGGGAACTGAAGCAGTGGTTCCCAACCTTCCTGATGCCGCCACCCTTTAATACAGTTCCTCATGTTGTGGTGACCCCCAGTTTCATTGTTACAAATTGAACATAACTGAAGCATGGTGATTAATCACAAAAACAATATGTAACTATATATGTGTTTTCCGATGGTCTTAGGCAACCCCTGTGAAAGGGTCATTCGACCCCCAAAGGGGTCGCGACCCACAGGTTGAGAACCACGGACTTAGATGAAAGACTGAGGACAAGGGGCCCTCAAGCTAGTCCTGTAGAGGAATTTCAGAGCGAGAATCCCTGATTTTTATCTGGCAGGTGGCCTTCCAGAATCTCCAGCTTCCTTGGAAGCTAGTTATCACTATGGGACTATAGGACTAAGTTCTGGCCAATGGGATATTAGCAAAAATAACATGGGCAACTTCTGGGTGATGCCTTTAAGCGGAGGGGTTTGTTCCCCTTCCT